CTCGCTTACCGGTGGTTCCGCCCCTCTGGCTCCCGGGTCTTTCCTTCCTCTCCTTTTCCTCCCTCCTCAACCTGGGTATTTTTTTCTTCTTTTTTTCCGGAGAAAAACGGCGGATTTGGGGTTTTCGCGCTTGGGTCCCGCCGGTTATTCCTCGAGGGCTGCCGGTACGAAGCGGGAATGCCTTGGGCACCCCCAACCCCGCCGGCTTTTCCGACCGATCGATGCAAATAAAAGCCTGCAGCAACGACAGAGGCCAAGGGAAAAATAAATAAATAAATTTTAAAAAAAATCTGTTAGCATTGCGTTTAAGTTCTGCTGTAATTTTGTTTGTTATAACGTTTTATGCCCGGAAATAATAATAATTAGAAAAAGCAGCGCGGAGTAAAGCGAAGGCTCAGAGAATCACAGAGTCTTCACGGTTGGAAGGGACCTTTGAGAGCATCGAGTCCAACCACAAAATAAAAAAAAACAACCCAAAAAAACCAAAAACAACAAAACCAACATAACCAACAAACAACCAAACCAAAACAAACCCCCAAAACAACAACAAAACCAAAACTAACAAACCAACAAAAAACAACCCCCCCAAAAAACCCAGCCAAAACAAAACCCCAAAAATTCCCCCCCAAACCAACCCCCCCCCCAAAACAACAACAAAAACAAAAAACCCCAACACAAACCACATCAACCCCCCCCAAACAGACACAAACCAACAATCTCAGGCACTAGAGCCTGCCCTGAAGTGCCACATCTTCATCCCACCAGGGATCCTGTCCCCATGCCAGGGTTTCCACCCAGACACACGCGACCACTCAAGGCAGGGTCCTGGTTTTCATTCGTGAGACTTCCCAGGGGATGGAGACCTTTTCTATTTGCTACGTTCAGGATCTCGCTACATTCAGGGATCAAGAGATGCTGCCTCTATTTCTGTCACTTCCTGACACTGGAAAAATCATTCCTGCACCTTTATTTGTCCCTTTCCATCTCTGCCTACAGACAGTCAACAGCTCTTGGGGAAGAAGGATCAAGCCTCACGCGGCATGAAGAGGTTACTGTGATACAACTAATTCTGTTGCAGAGCGTCCTTCCTGTTTCCCAACCAGCTTTTAATTAATGCAACACACACACAAACCTGAAACAGGGAATTGCCTTTTTACTTTTTTTTTAACATTGATATTTTATATAAATCTTTAATTCCTGAGAAACTGGCAGCACTTCACAAACCACAAGCTGAATCTTGTCAAGTGGTGAGAACTCTAATCTTCATCCAGAAAAACAGTTATGCACATGCCCAACTCCAAGCATATGGAAGTCTTACTGATTTGTGGGTTGAAATCTCCTACCCTTCCTGCAAAGAGAGCAGCAGAGAACACACTTTGCTACAAAAGAAGCCTGTAAGGATTGACACCGGTTAAATACTCCGAATGAAAGACACCAGGAAGTCCACAGAGTTGAAAGACCTGTTTTTTTCCAGGTATCATTTGAAAGACTCCTATTGTACAGTGTGTGCAACTCGGCTTTCCTAGAAAGGCTGAAGCGTCGCTGTTGGCTCAGACTGTATGGCCTGCAAAGCGAAGACAGAGTGGATGCGACTGCTGCCTGTCGATGCCTCAGCAGGCAGGGTGATGACCTTTGAGAGATAAGGGAAGATACAAGTTTAAGGGCAAATTAGCTATAAATAAACAGCACAAAATTGCGGCTCTACTCATTAGAAAGAGAGGGCCTGGAAGAGCCTTTCTAAGGGAACACCAGAGACAAAACCAAGCAGGTCGGTTTATCAGCGTTACATGATGCGATGCATGAAACAGCAGAGGCATGAATGTGGTGACTCAGCCCCATTTCCCTCACACGACAGGATTTTGGCCTAGAACGCCTCATTGCAGCAGACAGGTGGGTAGGCTTAGCAAGTTCAAACCATACCTTTCGTCATACCCTACCAGAGCTGCCTCTATCACTATCTCTGGTCTTCCAGCCTCCTTGCCTTCTCCTCTGCCTTTCCTCTCCCCGGCCTGCCCACTGCCTGTGACACCCCAGTTTTTTTGGCAGCTGCACAGAGGTGTGTATGTGCCAGCTGGGGGAACCTTTGCCTGCACTAGTGGGCATGCTGGTGGAAAGCAAAAGAACCTCTCTCGGGCACCCAGTGATCCAAATATCATGGTGTCTCCTGACCATCTGGCAGGCCAAACAAACAGCTTAATTGGCCAAGTGTGTCCTGCAAGCCATATATTGTTAAAGTCTGGTGTGGAGCTTTCCCCAGCTCCTTCAGTCTGCTTTTTTTTTTTTGTTGCAGGCTTCAAGAAGCAACACGCAGCTGCACAGCCACCACTCCCCTGAATTCAGTTGCACTTCTCTGTATTTAGCAGGCATTGTGCAAGCTGCGACATCGCCTGTGAACTCGTTTCTGTGATAAGACCTTGAGAACACACTGGGGCTGCCTCGCTCTCTGGAACACAGAGGCTGCTTCAGAGGTGTAAAGAGTTGTTCGTCATGTCTGACTCATTCCTGTTGCTCCCTTCAGGGACTTGCCGTGACGCTTTGACACGAATCTCGTGTTGGTCACAAGATGACTCAGGAAATCCTGAGTCTCCCAAAGACCCAAATGAATGGACAGAGGGGAAGACCTGCCATCTCTGGGTAATAAAGGAACTGACCCCTGGTAAAGACCCTCAAGAGCACGGCATCAGATTCCAGTAATTACAGATGCTCTTAAGTTCCCTTGATCTATATTGCCTGTAAGCACCTTTTTTTTTCTACCTTTCTTCCTGCATGTACATCTTCAACACCATGGGAACCTCCCTCTATCTATCACACAGCTAGACTTTGTCTCCCGGGGATCTGAACTTTGGCCAAACCTCTCTATTATGAAGATAAGATACCTTTATAACCTTCTTTGTTTCTTTTCCCTCCCTTTCATTTAAACATAACCAGTTTTGTAAGAGTATTCAACTGAAACTCTCAGAAAAAAACCAGCAGATTCTCATTCCTTTGCTGGGTAGAACTGGCAACAAAAAAAGAGACAAACAGTTTAGACCAAAATTTTCTTTCCTTTTAGCATTTGCTGCCAGTTCTGTTTCCAACACATCTGCCAGGCATGCTCCTGGTGAGAGAGAAAGCTGGCAGCCAGGGGTGAAGGGAACTGAGGGAAAGACGAGTTCAGGATGAGCCGTTAAGAAGGAAATGAACAATGATGTAGGATGGATGGACTTTGATGAAAGCAAGAGTTGTTTGAGGCCTAAAGAAAGGATGTTCCAGAGCACAGATGAATTTCAGTCCTTTTCTTCCTGTGAATGCCTTTGCCCGGTTTGCTCTATTTCCAGCTTTACCCCAGAGTGAAGCTCCTGTACATTCAGTTGACTGTTTGTGTCTGGCAAGAGATTGATTTGTTTCTCTGAGAGCAGTTTATGGTTCTGTTTTTTGACCTCACTTCTCTCACTCACAGCCTGGCCCTTAGAAAGGGTCCTTCTGTTTAATTCTGATGTCACTTTCCCAAGAGAAACGGCAGGCACCAAAGAAGGAACTGCCATTTTAGAAATAAGGAGGGCCCTGAGATCTTTTGTAACCCTGAACCTCAGCAGAAGGAAAAAGAAAAGGATAAAGTTAATGAGATGGGAGGAAGAGTAAATTGGTTTTAGTGATGGATGATGCAGTTTGATAATAGCTGATCCTGGAGCAGAACAGACACTTAAACTTTTTCACAGATAGGAGGAGAACTTGAGACTAGAAAAGACAAATAATACCTGATACCCATAAAGAGAAGAATAAGGCAGGAACCTTACCTGACACCTTGGGCAAAGGCTGAAAGATTCGAGAGGATCCTGCTTTTCCAAGGCACAATCCAAGCTGTCCTGCTCACCACAGCCAGGCTTTCGCATCAACTTCTGAGCTCACAGCATCAAAGTCATTGCTTCAATAACGAAGACACTTCCAAAGCATTTTAGAAAAAGACATATATTAGTGTATAAAAGCTGATTAAATGGCTGGACAATGCAGTTTCAAAAAGTATGGCATGTGGGGCAAAAAGGATTGCTTAGTCCCTCAAATATCTGTTTTACTTTTAAAGACTTTAAGAGCCAAGAAGGGCTCTTAAACCAACCTATCCTAGAGGCAGCTTTGGACAGATAGAGATACGGATGGACAGTTGCCCAGATGTTTAGGAATAGGGGACAAGGAGATGTCTGCAGGCACTCAAATACTATGTCCGTGAGTTTAATATTTAAAAAAAAAATTTTAAAAATTAAAGAAAAATAGAATAGTAGCATGGTCAGCATGGTCTGACCAGGATGGTCAGGGAGCAGCTTTCAGTTACAATTCTTCTGAGTTTCAGTTACAATTCTTCTGATTTTCAGTTACAATTCCCTGTGGCTGTCAGCAACTGAGTCAAATAGGTCCCCTTTTTAGGCTGTTTTCACTGAACCACTGAGTGTTTGTAAGCCTATATGGGAAACAGCAATAATCTTTTGGTGAAGATTTCATTACTGTTTGCGGATTTTGCAGTTCTAGCTATATTTTTTATATATACATTACTGAACAGTGTGTATTTCAGAGCAGTCAAAAGCTGAATAGTATCTGCAAAGCAAGGTTAAAGATATGTTTTCATTCCATATGAAAGTTGTGGGAATTAATTTATTAGCAGAAAGGTGCCAGAGGAAAGCAGAGCCATGTTAATCACAGTCCTGCAATGCTGCAGATGGGGATTAGAATCCAGTGTACAGACACATCAGACACCAAACTCCTTGCACATACTTTAAAATGCACAGTGAGAGAATACGCCTAGTGTTCTCCCTTATGGCTCACATAGCTTCTTAAAAACAGATGAAAAGCACATCTGTGAAAGCAATAAGGAACTACGCAGCCATATCTGAGGCATGCCATTTAACAAAATAACAGAACAAGCTAGAGAAAAAAGGAAAATGCTATATCATTTTTCCAAACCCAGCTGGGTGAGGGAAGAGGGAGCTGCATGAAGCACTGTTCAGGGCACAACACACCTTCCCTGGACTCCCTGGGACTTGCACCCCTTCCTTGGGATCCACACAGAGTCATAAGCTTTATAGGGCTCAGCAAGCTTATCTTCCCCTGCCATCACAGAAGCTTAAAAGGGATGGACAGGAGCAGAGGTCAGATGCCAGGCTCAGTCCTGCTAAATACATTTCTGACTGGAGGGGGAGGCAGGGAAATGGGCAGATCCCCAGGTCAAGTACTCACAGTGCTGAAATGCAATCTCAATCACAGCTGAATATGCAGCTCCTTCATCCCCTTTTTTCTTATTTTGATAGGCAGTGAAATAGTCAACTTTGTCTATATTTAAAATATCGGCACAGGGCATCTGAGTTGGCAGGCACTGAGATGAGCTGTGCGGGTCAGAGTTATTGTTTCAGATTCTGCAAGCACAGCCAGGCGTCACCACATCAGTTACTCTGGAAAATACAAATCAGACACATCCCAGCAATCGTACCAGCCAGGGCTTCTCATTTACTCGTTACTTTTTGTAGGTAAGTCTAGATTGTGGGGAATGAAGTGGTGCCTGTGACAGTGCTCTCCCTGTTCAAACCCCCAACAGAATGTCCCAAGTGCTGCACAAATACTGACCCTACAGTATCACACCAAAATACCCTCCTTGCTTGATGGGATCAGGCAAACTGCTACTGGAGCTGTCAGTCCATAGTTGGGGTGTTGTCCATCCCTTCACACTGACAATGCCCACAGGGGACATGGAGCAGAGGGGTGGAAGGAGGCTCAGGGCCCACAGTCCCCAAAGAAGCAGCATGAGAGGTGGCACATCCATTTGAGCTGATGCTGAAGGTTTTATGGGAATCAGTTAATCTCAGATCTTAAGTTGTTCCCTAGTGCACATCACAAGCAGTTTTTTCTCACTGTGGCCACAGCAGGACAGACTATGCTTTACCAAGATCACACATTATTCACAGGAATTAAAATACTGGTCAGCTAGATCAGTGATTTTCAATCATTGTCTGATTTGGAGGTCACAGTGGTCCACAGACCACAAGTCAAGATCTACCAAGCTCTGGTATGTGATTTTTTTTACATGCTCTGCATCTAGTAACTTTTGAATATCACCCAAAATCAAGTTAGGTAGATACAGCACTTAAAAAAATAATTTGCTAAGTACATCTGGAAAATTAACCCATGTATCTTTATGGGTGAAAGAAGGACAGAAAAGACTGTTTTCTTCCTTTATAAAGATGACTTGAAGTATGAAAAGTTGCCTTAGAAAAAGTCACAGAAAACAGCAGTCTCAGAGAATCAAATGCAAGGCCAAACCTCCGAAAAGAATGATCCCAGCAATTCCCATTCTGTAAATCTGACTCTTTTCCTGCTAGAAACAAATTATAAGCACAAAAAGCCACTAAAAAAAATGAAGGGTAACAGACTCACAATCAGTTATATATGCCTTGGAGTTTATAGGGAAGGGAACCTCCTATAGATTTACACCATCAGTGAGTAAGAGGGAAGTAGCAGAACCAACATGCTTGTCTTTAAACAAACATTTGAAGGACTGAATCACAAAAGTCTGAATATAACACGAATTCACATGTCTTTTGTCATAACAGCACCCACATAGCCTGAAAGCTGGCTTAAGAATTGTGATCGAGGAATAAAAATAGCAGATTACTTAGCAGGAAAAGGTAGTTAGTGTGTTTAAAATGGATCATGGTAGTGCTGTGTTAGAGTTGATCTCAAGACTTTCATGGTGATCTAGAAAAGACTCACTGATGAAATTATTGGATGACACAGAGAGGCATTCTGAATAACAACAAGGAAATAATTCTAAGAGGCAGGAAAGTCAAAAACAGTAAAAAATGCCAACCCCTGGATCTGTAAGCCACAAACCATAGTTTACATTATATCACCATCACACTGCATCTTTCTGGAACTTATGCTATAAACCCCCCTCACCTTTTCCCAATTCCTTCCCATGTCTCCACACGTCTTACTTTCCATAGGATTCTCCATATTTCCACCCACATCCACTGCCTGTTTTGGCTCTGGGAGACAGAGCAGATGCCGTGGCTCTTTTCAGAATCTACCCTGCCTGGTATATTCTATTGTATTCTTTACTGCAATCTGTTTATTTAAGAAAATGTTTTTATAGATAAGATTCCATCTTTTTGTCCGCTATATTCTATGTATGTGC